CCCCGCTCCCCACACTGCCCGGCGCGGTCCGTCTAGGCTCGGCTACCCTCCATCTGTCCGGCCGGCTCCCAGTCCAGCCTCCACCTCTATGTCTTCCCCTTCCCCGTCTCTCCTCTACCCCTGCACCTCTCTCTTCCCCCATCCCCGCTCGCAAGCCTCTCCCGCCCACAACCCGGCTCCTTTTCCCCCTCAGGCTCTAGGTCTGTCTGTCCGTCCGTGTCCCCTCCCCCAACCCCTTCCAGTCCCTCTCCGTGCCCTCCAGCGGCAGGGTCCGAGCGCCTCCTCTCTCCTCCGTCTCAAGCTTCCAAAGAGCAAGGAAGGGGAGAAGAGAGGGAGGAGGAAAAAAAAAAAAAAAAAAAAAAAAAAAAAAACCAACGGGGGAAAAAAAAAAAAAAAACAACCAACCCAGCAGCATCGGAAATCGATGCACTTACACCTCAGCTGGAAGCAGGGACGGGAGTCGAACCGCGGCCGCCGAGCAGCGCGAGGCGGGGAGGGGAGGGGGCGGCTCTTGGAAGGGACTTCTCCGATGTGTTGATTCCTTTTTCCCCCTCCTCCTCCCTCCCTCCAGCGCTCACTCCGGGGCGTCGGGGATGGAGATGGAAAAAATAAATAAATATATTCACGGCGGTGAGGGAAGTGAAGGAAAATAATCAATGCTATTTGGCTGCGGCTGAAGTGTTTTCCCGGCTTCGTGAGGGGGTTTCCATTGATTCACCCAGGGCACTCGCTCGTTCCCTGCCTCCTCCGCCTCCGCCTCCTCCTCCTCCTCGCCCACCTCCTCCTCCTCTTCGCCCTCACTCCTCCGCCTCATTCACTGGCTGGAGCCGAGGCGTCCCACACAATGGAATAATCAATACCCAGGCTCCCAGGGCGACCCCACTGAGCAGGTGCAGCGGCCCGCCCGCCGCGGTGGATGCCGGGAATTGTAGTCCGCCCGCCCGCTAGCCCGGGCGGAATCCGTCCGCCTCGCTGAACCTTGGGAGGGGCCCCAGGCCCCAAGGCAAGGCCCGCCAGTGAGCCTGGCCACCTGCTGGACTCTGGCGCCAGGTCCAAGCCAGTGCCTGCAAAGAGGACAGGCTCCTTTAAAAACTCTTTTTCACCTTCTCTTCTTCTTTCCGGTTACGAAACCATATGTGTGTTTTGTTTTGTTTTGTTTTGTTTTGTTTTAAATCATCTCTAGAGCAAGCCCTGGCTTCTACCAGCTTCCCAGAACCGCCTGAGGCCTCTTTTTCCATTCCTTCTCCTGCCTTATTAGCCCCTCCCTTCCAACTGGATACCAGAACATCCTCTTCCGCAGCAATTACTCTGAAGTCTCTGAGAGCCCTCTCCCTCCCTCCCTCCCTCTCTCTCCCTCTCTCTCTCTCATCTCAGAGTCCCCAGAGTTATTATAATAACAGTAATTGCTAAGATTTATAGAGTGCCAGGGACAGTTCCAAGCACCTTTCCATATATTAACTTATTTAATCCTCACAACTAGTCCCCATTTTACAGTTGAGGAAACCACGGCACAAACAAGTTAATTAGCTGGCCCCAGGTCACATGGTGGATTACTAATGACAAGCGGTCTGGCTCCAGGGCCTGCCTTAGCTGCTACAGTCTACTCTTTAAAGAGCAAATAAAAACCCTGGAGTTTACAGGAGAAAACAAGGAGAAACTTAACATTCGGAACCTCAAACATGTGACAGTGTGTCAATGAATCCTCACACATAACTGTGAGGCAGCCCACATTTTGCCAATGAGAAGCAGAGGTTTCGTGAGGCAGAGGAGCTTGCCCAAAGTCAAACGCCTCGAAAGTGAAGCTGGCACCCTGGCTGGTGTTGCCAAATGATCAGAGCGTCTGCCTGACCACCAAAGTGTTGTGGGTTTGATTACTGGTTAGTGGAATGTACCTGGGTTGCAGGTTCCATCCTCGGCCAGATCCTCCAACGGACAGGGGCAGTTGGGGTCAGTGCAGAAGGCAATCAATCAATTTGATTTGTCTCTCTCACATCCCATGTCTCTCCCTCTCCCTCTCTCTCTCTCTCTCTCTCTCTCTCTCTCTCTCTCTCTCTCTCTCGCGCGCGCGCACTCGCTCTCTCTCTCCCTCTTTCTCTCCCTTCCTCTTTCTCTCTTACCTCTCCCACTTCCCTCCCTTCCATCTCCCTAAGAATCAATGGAAAGAGTATCATTGAGTGAGAATTAACAACAACAACAAAAAGTGAAGCTGGGAGTTTACCCCAGGTCTATCTGGCTCCCAAATATGATTGTTCTTTTCCCTTAAACTCCTCTGCCCACTGGGATTGGGTTTTATAATTCAGGGAAGAAATTAGAGCTTCTTCCCCTTGTCAACAAAACTGAAAAGCAAAGGACAGATGAAAAGCAGGCCAGTGAGAGGAGTTAGTGGCTGGGGGTGCTCCCCTCCCTGCCCATTGGTGCTTGTCATGGGGGGTGGGGGGGGAGGAGGAGTCTGGGAGGTGGATGCATACAAGACATCCCAGATCAAAATACCGTGTTTGTAAACCAGTGTCCTTACCAGGGTTCATGTATTTTCAGAAGCATGCTGGGAGAGGACAGGTGTTGAGAACCTAGCACTTCTCACCAATCATAGAAGGAATCCAGGAGTTGGTAAGAGCCACTGTTCTCAGCAAGCCACCACACCCAGAGGGTCCAGCATGCAGTTGACTCCTCCAGGTAACCACAGTCCACACAGGGACTAGAGAGCAGGAGGGTTTATTTCCCAAAGCAGTCAAAAGGCCACCTCCATGTCTTCCTGTATTTTATTTTATTTTTTAAAATATATTTTATTGATTTTTTACAGAGAGGAAGGGAGAGGGATAGAGATAGAGCTAGAAACATTGATGAGAGAGAAACACCCATTAGCTGCTTCCTGCACACCTCCTGCTGGGAATGTGCCCACAACCAAGATACATGGAATCAAACCTGGGACCCTTCACTCCGCAGGCCGATGCTCTATCCACTGAGCCAAACCGGTTTCGGCTCTTCCTGTATTTTATTTTATTTATTTTTTATTTTATTTTATTTTTTATTTTTAAAAAATATATTTTATTGATTTTTGTACAGAGAGGAAGGGAGAGAGATAGAGAGTTAGAAACATCGATGAGAGAGAGCCATCAATCAGCTGCCTCTTGCACACCCCCTACTGGGGATATGCCCACAACCAAGGTACATGCCCTTGACCGGAATCGAACCAGGGTCCCTTCAGTCCCCAAGCCGACGCTCTATCCATTGAGCCAAACCGGTTTCGGCTTTTCCTGTATTTTAAATGACCACGAGTGTTCTCCTGTTCCTGACAAAACCTGCTCAGTGTCCATTGGAAACTCAGTGACATACTCCTCACTCCGTCTGGCACTCAAGGCCTTTTCCAACCTGCACCATAACTTATTTCTAGCTTCATCTTCTTCCACATTGGCCAGGTGCTTTCCAGCTTTTGGGTCTTTGCTCAGGCTGTTCCTGTCTCCATCTGAGTCTCCAACTGTTGAAATCCCATTCCGTCTTTATTTATTTTATTTTATTTATTTTTTTCCATTCCGTCTTTAATTCCCAACCAAAATATCACTTCCTCCTCAGACAGAAAGTTTCCCACCCACCCTTACCCTGGACATTCATGCTGCGGTATGAAAAACTCCCGAATAACTAAGCTTCTTAGTTATGCTTTATAAATAAACGAACAAACAAACAAATAAATAATTTCAGAGAGGGGGAGAGATAGAAACATTAACGATTAGAGAGAATCCTTGATCGGCTGCCTCCCATACATCCTGAGCCCAACACCCAGGCATGTGCCCTTGACAAGACTCAAACCCAGGACCCTTCCATCCACAGGCCAATGCTCTAGCCACTGAGCCAAACTAGCTAGGCTTCTTAGTTATACTTTTATTAGCCCATTGCCAGTGGCCTGCATTTAGTATCCCCTTCCCTTCCCCCCAACCTCCCGCAATAGTCAATATTATTAGTATGTCTGCTGGACAGTGTCTGAATGAGTGGCGTGTATTTCAGACACATCTGCTTATGGAGGAAGGGGTTTGGACACCAGACTGGGGCCTCAGCTCCTCCCACCCTACTCTCCCCATAGCCCTCATCAACGTTAGATAGTCTCCTTGGCACTATTCGCAGCCACCATAGCCACGGTGATGGGGGTGGTGGTGGGGACAAAGTCTCCTTTTGGAACTACATCTCCCATCATGCATCCAGGCCCCAGGATGCCAGGCTTGGCCTGAAGCGCGGACCGGGCCGTACCCGGGATCCAGGAAAGGTCGGGGTGAAGAGCAAGCGCAGGGGAACGGCCCCGTTCCCTTCTCACTGCTGAGGTTCCGGCCCTTTAAACTCTAGCGGCCGCTCGGGCCGGCCTGCTCGTGGCACCACTACTTCGGCCTAATATGGCCGCTCGCGCGGGGACTGGTCCGGAGAGCAGAGTCGGGCCGAGGCCCAGGGCCAGGTTCTGTTCCCGGCATCCCTCGCGGCGTGGCGTGGGCTCTCGTCCCCACCTCCAGGTCCCGCGAGAGGGAGGCTTTCGGGCTCCGAAGTGACACCCGAGGCTCTGTGGCTGGGGAGGGCTGGTCGGCGGGGACACCGGGCAGTGAGCCACCAGCCTGCAGGGTAAGGAGGTGTGGGGAGCGCTGAAGGGACACCGGGCATGCGCCTGCTTCTGAAGGAGCCCTTTGGCTTGAGAACATCTTCAGCCATGCAAGGGATCTTACTGGAGACCTGTCACTGTCAGTCTTAAAACATCAAACAGAGGGCGGGGGGGGGGGGAGAAGGAGGGGATGAGGGGAAGGCGGGGCTTCCAGCACAGGATGGGGAGAAAGGGCTGCAGCACCAGTCGATTCTGTGACAGTGTTTGTGTCTCACAAGTTCTTTCCAGGGTGGTGGTGGTGTGTGGGAAGTGGGGGTGGGGTGTCTTTTCTGAGCTGTCATGCTGCAAGGCTGAGCCCCCTTGGGAAGTCAGCAAATGATTTTTTAATTTTTTAAAAATTTTTATTGACTGATTGCAGGTAGTAATGGCCCAGGGATTGATTGAGGTGGAGCGAAAGTTCGTTACTGGGCCTGAAACAGAAGAACGGCTGCAGGAGTTGGGGGGCACCCTGGAGCACCGGGTCACCTTCCGAGACATCTACTATGATACCCCTGAGCTGAACCTCATGCGGACCGACTATTGGCTGCGACATCGAGAAAACAGTGGTTGGGAGCTCAAAATTCCTGGAATGGCAGGTGTCTCTGGACCCCACAATGTGTACTTGGAACTCACAGCTGAGCCTGAAATTGTGGCCCAGCTCTATAAGGTGCTGGGTGCTGAAGTCCTGGGGGCTGAGGATGTGGCTGCTGTGCTGGGGCCACTAGGTCTGCAGGAAGTAGCTAGTTATGTGACTAATCGTAGTGTCTGGAAACTGGTGCTTTCCAGAGCTGATCAAGAGGAGCTTCCGCTCAGGGTGGACCTGGACACAGCCGACTTCGGCTACGCGGTGGGTGAAGTAGAGGCCCTGGTGCACAAGGAGGCCGAAGTCCCAGCAGCCCTAGAGAAGATCAACAAGCTCAGCAGCATGCTTGGTGAGGGAGACGGAACCTTCTGTGCTTTCCCTGTTCCTCTCCTGGGTGTACCCATTAGGACATTCGCAGGGAGGGTTTTGGAGTTTTTTCTCTAATGGGAATTGTTTTAGCAACTTTCTAGGAGACTGAGTTTTCTTAGGTCTCTATCACATCCCCTTTCCTCTTTTGCAGTAGTGCTCTAATCTTGATTTAATTCTGCCAAGTGTCTCTGATCTATCTCAGTCATTCTGATTTAGTTCTCAGACCTCTAGTCTTCAGTTCCATTTGTCAGTTCCTGCTTCAGTCCTTTAGTCCATCCTCCCATCTCCCAATTCCTGTCCCCTCATTTTTACAACTACCTAGATCTTCACTGAATGTGTCCTGTTAGCTTTCAGTACAAAGCAATAATGTATTTCTGAGAGACTGGGGCAGGCACTGGCAGACTTGTTTTTTCTGTTCCTAAGCTTAATGACCTTGTAGACAGCCTGTCCATGCAAGTATGGGGTTGTGCATCGCATGGGGGCCCTACAGCCCTTGAAAGCGGTTCTCACCATCTCAGCAAACATACACTGAGTTCCTAGTTATGTGCCCAGTATGCCGTCAGGTACTTCCAATAAGACACTGGCTTATGCCGAAACCGGTTTGGCTTGGTGGATAGAGCGTTGGTCTGCAGACTGAAGGGTCCCAGGTTCAATTCCAGTCAAGGGCATGTACATTGGTTGCAGGCACATCCCTGGTGGGGGTGTGCAGGAGGCAGCTGGTCGATGTATTTCTCTCATTGATGTTTCTAGCTCTCTATCCCTCTCCCTTCCTCTCTGTGAAAAATCAATAAAATATATATATTTTTTAAAAAGACACAGGCTTATCATGGCTCTACCACAAAGAGGCTAAAAGTCTATGTGAGTCCCATCCCATGGCTACTTCTGTCTTCTCTCTCTCTCTCTCTCTAAATATATTTTATTGATTTTTTACAGAGAGGGAGAGATAGAGAGCTAGAAACATCAATGAGAAACATCGACCAGCTGCCTCTTGCACACCCCCCACCGGGGATATGCCCTCAACCAAGGTACATGCCCTTGACCGGAATCGAACCCGGGACCTTTCAGTCTGCAGACCAATGCTCTACCATTGAGCCAAACCGGTTTCGGCGCTCTTTTTAATTTTAGAGAGAGAGGAAGGGAGAGGGTGAAGGAGAAACACTGACCAGTTGCCTCCCATATACACCCCAACCTGGATATGTGCCCTGATCAGAATTGAACCTGTGACCCTTCCGTGCACTAGACAGTGCTCCAGCCACCCTGGCTAGGGCTCTCCTTTTCTTTCTATATCCCTGTTTCCCTCTCTACATGTGCCCCATTACCAAATTAACAAGCTTTTGCCTGTCTAGATGGACTTTAATCTTAATTGGGTGACAGGAGCCACATACTGAAATAAGTTGATACTCAGGCCCCCTCTGTCTTCATGGTGCATAAGTGCCTCTTTACCATTTCTCCTTGCTGCCAGAAGTGGCCCTTTTGGGCCCCACTTCCAAAATCAGGGAGTGGGCTGTGGGTTACGCAAGCTGGTTGGATGGCTGGCATTCTTCATCTCAGAGCTGCCTTGGAAACAACTTGGGGGTCCAGCTGCGTGGGCAGGGAATAGACTCAAAGCATTTGTAGCTCTTTCTGCTTCTCGTTCTCCTTTTGCCTATAGGTGTGTTGGCACAGGAGAGTGCACCCTCCAAGCTGATCGTGTACCTACAGCGTTTCCGGCCTCAGGACTACCAGCGCCTACTAGAAGTATATGGCTCCAGAGAAGCCAGAGGGGACTAATGATGCTGACAGTAGCCTGGGCTAAGGTGTCACTTCCTCGACAACAGAGAAGAGAACTCTGAGCCTAATGGGGTTCATTCCTTTCCGCACTTGCCTGTTCTGGCTTCCCTTTCCACCGTGACTCCTCTCACCAGCTCTGCCTGTTCCTTCACGCTACCCTCAGTTATCCTGTGGAGCCCTCCCAGGCTGCCTCCTCTCCCTCATCCGTCAGATGCAATCTGTGGGCCGCCCCTCTCCCCTGGCCGCTAAGCAGCCTCCATTGATTTCCGCTCGTGTTTATAGGATTTCCACTTAGCCGTGATCAGTAGTTAAGCACAGGAAAATCCCTTGCCACCCCCCTTCCCTTGGTCGATGCCATTGATTCTGCCAGCGGCTCCTAAACCACCTTACAGCTGAGTTAGAGATGAGGGGAGGCAGCGGGATTTCCCTGCCTAGGGGCGTGGGGAGTAGCGGCAGGTTGGGGAAAAGGGTGGGAATCCCTATTGGAAATCTAGAAATTCTGGTTTGATTTTGCCACTGTGCCCTGCTCTGGCCCAAAGGGTAAAGTGCCTCTGTGGGGTCAAATGTGTTCCCCAGCCAGAAAGAAAACGCTTCTTTGTTGAAACAGATTCCTGAGAGCAAGGGTACATACTTCCGGTTAAGACTTTTTCTTTGCTGTTATTCATATATTTTCTACTTCAAATATATACAAATATAACTCACTCCCTCAGGCTTTATTGGACTTTCATTATTTGTCCGGGAGAAGGGCGGGGCCCCTCTAGTCTGGCAATGCAAGCACAGGACCAGAGCGCCACCTGCTGGTAATCCTCAGATGTAGGCTCCAAGAACCTGGGAACCCAGGGGTCTGGGACGCAAGAGGATTTCAGGCTGAGAGGAGGCTGAGCTACTGCCATGTCTCCACAGGCAAGTTGTTCACCTCGAACACCTCCTGCACTGATTGGCCATAGTGGTTGTAGGTGAGGCGCAGCTTTAACCGCAAGGGGGCCTAGGGATAGGAGAGTGGAAACCAGGGTTAGCACAGGTGACTGCTCCCTTCCCTGGATCTTATTCACAGGAGGCTCCTGAGCTCACCTTGTTAGGATTGAGGATTCGGAGGACCTGGGTCACTGGAAGGCCACCCTGTGCTGGAACTGTGTCCCCACTGGGAGCCTGTAGCTGCAGCTGGAAACTCTGAACATGGGAGATCGGGCAGGTTCAGGCAAGCCCTGCACACCCAATAGTTTCAAACCCTCTTCCCGTAACTCCCCAAGTGATCGTCTCTGCGTGGCACTCCCTTCTCATCTCATTCTCTTTTCCCTCCACTCATTGGCTTTTTCTCCTGGAGTGCCCAGGCCACCTCTGAATCCTGGTCTTCTACAAACCTTGGGCACAGCGGCCTGGCAGATGAAGTGCGTGACGTCACCCTCTGAGGCGTTGGTGGCAGTGACAGTGATTACGAGCAAAGTAGGAGTTCCAGGGGGTCTAACAAAAGACAGATTCAGCTGTAGTCCTTCCCGCTCAAACACTTTAAGATTTGGGATGGGAGCTAGAGGAGGAAGAGAGAAGCAGCTTACTGTATGGACCAACGATGAGTTCATTCATTCTCCCATTCAAAAAAATTTAAGTGAGCTCCCCCTGGGTGCAGGGCACTGCTTCAAATGCTAGCAACAAAGTGGGCAAGGAGTTGGAGCTGACAGTCTAGTTTGGGGAGAGAATAAACAAGAAAAGCAAGATATAATTGCTGCTAGAAGGAAATAAACTAGGCCAGAGTAACTGGGGGGAACCAACTAAAAAAGGAGTGGTAGGGGAAGCACCTGACATTTTAGCTGAGGCTTGAAGAGTAAGAATAAGCTAGTCATTTGATGTGCTAGGGGAAGAATAGTCCATGGAAAAAGAACATGAATTGCCAAGGGCTTGAGGTGAGAGGGTCTGAGGAGCTAAGAGGGGTCAGTGGAATGGGCAGGAGGGAAGTATATGAGGTGGGCCAGGGAGGAAACAGAGTGTTCAGGCCAGGATAAGCCATCTGGAACAAAGGGGAGGCGTTGAAGGGTGTCTAGGAAGGGAGTACATGCCAGAACCCTATTACCTACTAAGATGGGGGCACACAGCAGGGAAGAGGGTACCTGAACCTCAGGGCTTGGCTAGAGAAGAAACACATCTTGCCCCCACCCCACCGCCCCGACATCTCCCTTTTTCTGAGGCTTACCTGGGGTTAGGGGAGCACAGGGAAGGTCGAGCAGGTGTATTAAAGTGCCTTCTGGGGAGGAGTCCACAGGGGGAGGCTGCTGGGAATCCTCAGAGGGTCCATCCAGGAGATCTAACAGATCCAAGAGCTTTGAGGCCTGTGGGGAAAGGGCAGAAGGATCAGGGCTAGGTAGGGAAGCCCCACTAAGTCCTCTCCCCGCTGGGCTCCCGCCTCCTTACCTGGGGCTCTGTGGGGACAGGGGCTGGTTCCAAAAGACGGGTTCCTTCTTGGCTTTCCTTCACTTCCTCATCAGCCTGAGGGCCACCTCGTTCCACAAGAGGCATCTTTTCTAGGATGGCTGCCCTGTGAGGATGGAATGCAGTTGTCCCTCTGGGTGGGCCCTGCACTTTTTACAAGAGGCGTGTGGCAGGAGGAGTAAGAGCATGGAGCCCTGGACACCTGGTGGGTTGGAAGTGCCCCTCTGACTTCCTGAGGTGGCACGCTATTGATGGTTTCCAGATGAGCAAAGAGGGATGGCAGCCAGCTCAGCTCCAAGGAACTGGGAATGGAGGCTCTGACTGGATGAGGATTGTGACCCTGGTAGCCAGAAAGGGACTCTGGGAAGAGGGCATTTGGGGAGAGGGCAGGGATGTGGGCTCTATGCTGGGGCGGACCGCCAGTCGCACCTCATGTGGTCGTACTTCCGGAAGAGGGTGTTGTACTCCACGGCCCGCTGCTGCAGCTCCACGTCCAGGCAGCTCCCGTAGATGGACACCACCTGGCGGATGCGGCTGGGCCAGAGGGAGGCGTATGAGTGGGCATGGCCGTCTGCCTTGCCCTGCAACTCCAGGACGTGGCAGGGAAGGGAGAGGCCCCACAGAGCAGGGTGAGGCCCATGATACTTGGCTCAAAAGGAAGAACCTAAGAATTGGGGGTAATGGGGGGTGTGCCTGGAGAGGAACCCAGAAACTGGTGGGCACAGTGCAGGGACACTGTCACTGAAGGCACCAAGAAGAGGTCTCTGGGAGGGGCTGGGACCCCTGCTTACTTGTTGTCCCCACGAAGCCGGGTGCTAAGCTTCATGAGGGCCGTGAGGGCGTATCCTCGGGTGGCTGGCAGGGACACATGGGACTGCAGCACTCTTTCCAGTAATGCCAGCACTTCTTCTTCTTCCACCTTTGCCGGGAGGGGGGGGGGGGAGGGGCGGGGGCACAGGTAGTGACCCTGGGCCAGCCCTGCCTTCCCCAACAAGTCCCCTCCTCAGTGTGCCCTCAATGCAGGTCTCACCTGAAGCGGCTCCGTTTCCTCACAGCTCCCCTCCAGCAGAAGGTCCCCGTATTCCCCAATGCACCAGGCTGCCACTTGCACCAGCGGTTGCTGTGTAGGATAAGAAACATGCTGGGCCAGTGTCTGGGTCCCCCCCAACCCCCTCTCTTCCAAACCCTGTGGCGTCCCTTTAGGTTGGGAGGGGTGGGTAAAGGAAAGGGCCTTAGCACAAGGAAGTTATGTTAGTTTGTTCCCCCACTGCCCTGGTTCCTGGGCTTCCTCTGCCCTCTGGTGGCCAGGAGTCAGAACTACATGGTCTGACCACAAAGGGCGCAGCAAGGATGAAGTGAGGGCCCCTACTTAATGTATGGAAAGAGGGCTATGATACTGACTGGCATCCATGAATTCATTCAGCATTTAAGTAATAAAAAAACCCCAAATACATGCGGAAAGAGCTATTGATCTCATTTGATCTCCAAGATAGTTTCGGGAGGGGGGCAGGGTAGAAAGCTGAGTGTGCCAAGCCCAAGCGTAAAGAAGGTTACATTAGTCATCTGGTTTCAGCCAGTAGGTACCAGAACCAGGACAGAAGTCCAGGTGTTCTTACTAAAAGCAGGGCCCTGCCCTTGAGGATGTCCTCCACTAAGTAGAAAGTTATGACTTTGCCCTAGCTGGCGTGGCTCAGTGGATAGAGCATCAGCCTGCAGATTGAGGGTCCCAGGTTTGATTCTGGCCAGGGGCACCTGCCTGAGCTACAGGCTAGATCCTCAGTAGAGGCCATGCAGGAGGCAGCTAACCCATGATTCTCTCTCATCATTGATGCTTCTATCTCTCTCTCCTTCCTTCCTCTCTGAAATCAATAAAGAAATATACATATTTTATTTTATTTATTTTAAAAATATATTTTTATTGATTTTTTTACAGAGAGGAAGGGAGAGAGATAGAGAGCTAGAAACGTCGATGAGAGAGAAACATCGACCAACTGCCTCTTGCACACTCCCTATTGGGGATGTGCCCGCAACTCAGGTACATGCTCTTGACCGGAATCGAACCTGGGACCTTTCAGTTCGCAGACCGACGCTCTACCACTGAGCCAAACCAGTTTTCGGTGAAATATACATATTTTAAAAAGTTATGACTTTGCCGAAACCGGTTTGGCTCAGTGGTAGAGCGTCAGTCTGCAGACCGAAAGGTCCCGGGTTCGATTCTGGTCAAGGGCATGTACATTGGTTGTGGGCGCATCCCCGGTAGGGGTTGTGCAAGAGGCAGCTGGTTGATGTTTCTCTCTCATCGACGTTTCTAGCTCTCTATCTCTCTCCCTTTCTCTCTGTAAAAAATCAATAAAATATATTAAAAAAAAAAAAAGTTATGACTTTGAAGGGAAAACCATTGGGAACCAGGTGTAAGTAGTTGGCTCAGGAGGGACTGGGAGGGTTGGGCAGCCTGGGGTCTGGGTGGGGGAAACTTACCTGGGAGATGTCCTGTGCCAGGGCACTGTAGAGGCGGCGCACAGAGTAGGCGTGGAGCTCCTGGGCCCCGCCAATCAGTTGGGTCAGGTTGGCCACTGCGT